CGCGCTTCACTAATAGTGGTCACCGCGCGCCGAAAAAGATAATTGTGAACTTAGAATTTTTTGTCATTATAAAAAAAACACAACACAATCGTTTCCAGACGGTAACTCAAGAAATAGCGGTTGTATTGACTTCAAAATTTGCCTTGTGATGAGTAACATAATGCTATCCAAATCTGTCGACTATTGATAGAAATTGTCAATCAATACAAATAATATAAGAAAACGAATGTAGTGTGTTCAGCACGAAATATCAAATCTGTTCGTAAGTCAACTTTCATGGAACCCAAAAAAATTAAAAAATAGGTTTGTGGAGAACATAACTCAAGAAATAAATGGCCTATTGTATTGAAATTTTGTCTGTTTATTGTTCGTTATATTTGAAACATTCGGTAGAAATGTCGACTGAATAGGCTATTCATTTTTTGAGTTATATTGCCACACAAAATGTGTTATTTTGTGCTCTAAAAGTCGACTTACGTTCGGATTCAATTCGAGTCAACTTGAATGTAATAAAAACAACACACTCGTTTTCCAGACGATAACCCTAGAAATACCTCTTGTATTGACTCGACACTTTGTCCGTCAATTGGTCCTGCTGTCCGATATAAGTCTATAAATTTTCAGAACCAAATGTCAACCAAATCCTATGAAACAACCAAATATTTCGCGCTGTTTTTTTAAAGACATTACCTGGACACTTTTGCAAACTGGCATGTTCTTTCAAAAGAGGGCGCGCTTCACTAATAGTGGTCACCGCGCGCCGAAAAAGATAATAAAAAAAAAACACAACACAATCGTTTCCAGACGGTATAACTCAAGAAATAGCGGTTGTATTGACTTCAAAATTTGCCTTGTGATTAGTAACATTCTGTAATCCAACTCTGTTGACTATTGATAGAAATTGTCAATCAATACAAATAATATAACAAAAAGAATGTAGTGTGTTTAGCACGAAACATATAATCTGTTCGTAAGTCAACTTTCATGGAACAAAACAACACATTCGGTTTGTGGAGAACATAACTCAAGAAATAAATGGCGTATTGAATTGAAGTTTTGTCTGTTTATTGCTCGTTATATTTGAAACACTCAGTAGAAATGTCAGCTGAATAGGCTTTTTGTTTTTTGAGTTATTTTGCCACACATAATGTGTTATTTTGTGCTCTGAAAGTCGACTTACGTTCGGATTCAATTTGAGTCAACTTGAATGAAATAAAAACAGCACACTCGTTTTCCAGACGATAACCCTAGAAATACCTCTTGTATTGACTCGACACTTTGTCCGTCAATCGGTCCTGCTGTCCGATATAAGTCTATAAATTTTCAGAACCAAATGTCAACCAAATCCAATGAAACAACCAAATATTTCGCGCTGTTTTTTTTATAAGACATAACCTGGACACTTTTGCCAACTGGCATGTTCTTTCAAAAGAGGGCGCGCTACACTAATAGTGGTCACAGCGCGCCGTAAAAGATAATTGCGAACTTTGAATTTTGTGTCATTATAAAAAAAAAACAGAACACAATCGTTTCCAGACAGTATAACTCAAGAAATACCGGTTGTATTGACTTCAAAATTTGCCTTGTGATTAGTGACATTATGTAATCCAACTCTGTTGACTATTGATAGAAACTGACAATCAATACAAATAATATAAGAAAAAGAATGTAGTGTGTTTAGCACGAAAAATCAAATCTGTTCGTAAGTCAACTTTCATGGAACAAAAACAACACATTCGGTTTGTGGAGAACATAACTCAAGAAATAAATGGCGTATTGAATTGAAATTTTGTCTGTTTATTGCTCGTTATATTTGAAACATTCGGTAGAAATGTCAACTGAATAGGCTATTTGTTTTTTGAGTTATATTGCCACACAAAATGTGTTATTTTGTGCTCTGAAAGTCGACTTACGTTCGGATTCAATTTGAGTCAACTTGAATGTAATAAAAACAACACACTCGTTTCCCAGACGATAACCCTAGAAATACCTCTTGTATTGACTCGACACTTTGTCCGTCAATTGGTCCTGCTGTCCGATATAAGTCTATAAATTTTCAGAACCAAATGTCAACCAAATCCAATGAAACAACCAAATATTTCGCGCCGTTTTTTTATAAGACATAACCTGGACACTTTTGCAAACTGGCATGTTCTTTCAAAAGAGGGCGCGCTACACTAATAGTGGTCACCGCGCCGTAACGTAGAATTTTTTGTCCTTATATAAAAACACAATCGTTTCCAGACGGTTTAACTCAAGAAATACCGCTTGTATTGACTTCAAAATTTATCTTGTGATTAGTACAATATGTTACCAAACTCTATTGACTATTGATAGAAATGGTCAAATAATGCAAATAATATAACAAAAAGAATGTAGTGTGTTCAGCACGAAAAATACAATCTGTTTTCTCCATGATGACACAAACGTTTGTTGGCGACTGCAACATTGGTTTGTCTTAATACTTTATAGGCTTATTTTATTTGTCCTCAACAATAATCAAGAGAAATTTTAAACCTTCAAGATGGGGATTTAATGAGTTATTGTTCAAGCAAAGCGAGGGTTGTTTCTGCGTGTTCAATAGTCTGGAGTATTTTCTCTACACTGGGACGACTTTAAGGTATGTTTTCTCCACAATTACACAAATGGTTTTCTTTTGGTTACTGCAACATTGGTTTGTCTTAATTTTTAATAGGCATATTTTATTTATCCTTAACAATAATCAAGAGAAATTTCAAACCAGTAGGTCTGGTGTTAATTGAGTTATTATTCAAGCAACGCGTGGGCTGTTTCTGCGAGTTCAATATAGCCCGGGGTATATTCCTGTACACTGGGACGTCTTTGAAGCAGGTTTTCTCCATGATAACATCAACTTTTTGGGGAGTGACTACAACATCGGTTTGTCTTAATACTTTATAGGCTTAATTTCTTTGTCCTCAACAATAATTAAGAGAAATGTCAAACCTGTTTAATTCTTAATTTCTATGTCCTCAACACTAATTAAGGGAAATTTCAAACCAGTAAGACAGGTATTTAATGCGTTATTGCTCGAACAAACCTTTTTTTTGGGGGGGGGGGTTGACTGCAACATTGGTTTGTCTTAAATACTCTATAGGCTTATTTTATTTATCCTCAACAATAATCAAGGGAATTTCAAACCAGTAGGACTGGTATTGATTGAGTTATTGTTCAAGCAACGCGTATGCTGTTTCTGCGTGTTCAATATAGTCCGGAGTATTTTCATGTACACTGTGACGTCTTTAAAGCAGGTTTTCTCTGTGATAACATAAACAGTTTTTTTTTAGTTGACTGGAACATTGGTTTTTTAATACTAACTTTATAAGCTTATTTAAGTTATCCTTAACAATAATCAAGAGAAATTTCAAACCATTACAACACGTATTTATTGAGTTATTGTTCAAGCAACGCGTGAGTTGTTTCTGTGTGCTCAATTTACTTTGGAGTGTTTTTCTGTACATTGGCACGTCTTCAAGGCAGGTTTTCTTTGTGATGACACAAATGTTTTTAGGTGACTGCAACATTGGTTTGTCTTAATACTTTATAAGGTTATTTTAATTATCCTCAACAAAATTAGGGAAAATTTCAAACCTGTAAGACAGGTATTGAAGGAGTTATTGTTCAAGCAACGCGTGGGTTGTTTCTGCGTGTTCAGTAGTCGGGAGTATTTTCTGTACACTGGCACGTCTTTTAGGTAGGTTTTCTCCGTGATTACACAAACGTGTTTTTTTGGGTGACTTCAAGATTGGTTTGTCTCAATACTTTATAGGCTCATTTAATTTATCCTCCAAAATGATCGAGGCAAATTTCAAACCAGAAGAACTGGTATTGATTGAGTTATTGTTCAAGCAACGCGTGGGCTATTTCTGCGTTTTCAATAGTCCGGAGTATTTTCCTGACGTCTTTAATTAAGGCAGGTATTCTCCGTGATGAAACAAACTTTTTTGGTGGAGGAGGGGGGGGGGGGTGACTGCAACATTGGTTTGTCTTAATACTTTATAGGCTTATTTAAGATATCCTCAACAATAATCAAGAGAAATTTCAAACCAGTACGACACGTATTTAATGAGTTATTGTTCAAGCAGCGCGTGGGTTGTTTCTGTGTGCTCAATTTACTTGGGAGTTTTTTCTGTACACTGGCACGTCTTTAAGGAAGGTTTTCTCCGTGATGACGCTGCGTCACTGGCAACTTCAATGGCGCAGGGGCGGGATTCCCCCTCCTGCGAAATTTCAAATCAGCTTCTTCTTTTTTTTTAAGAAAAATAGCAAAGTGTTTTGTAATACGACAACGGCCGGGCATCTATCAAACCTTTAGCCAAGCTTGGCGCTTATCGTGTAATATGATACAGAACGCGGGACCACAGCCTGTGCTTGCTGTGTCTAAGGTTTTTTTTTATCCATGTCTATGACGCGACAACGGGTGAATGACCGAAGACCCGATATAGAAAGCGCCCGCTGATTGGTCAAAATCTAGAGGTCAAGAGGCGGTTGTCTTGCATAATTAATCAGCGAACCTGCTCACATAGACCTTGGCTCTTCGCCATGGTCTATTACATAGACTATTTACCACCGACTTCAAACCAGGAAAACCTGGCCTGTTACCACTGAAAGCGATCCTGAAACAGATACAATATACCATCTTCCAAAATTTCCTATCGTTGCCCAACCCTCATATACCGTCATGAAGAAAAAAGGAATTAAAAAGAAACCAGCACCGGCAGTCTATCTATCAGAGATAGATATAATCATTAAGTAATTTGTAATGTTCAATGTCTCATTTCTTAATACAATGTAGTGAAAGTGCGGCTAGACAATTTAAGAGTGCACACCATTAAACATTTTAATTTAAAAAGTTCATTTTTGTCAAAGCTTCGATTGAATTGATAGCTCTCTCAATGTCTTGTTCTTAAATTCAGCCGGGTGGAGTAAATTTTCAATTGAATAACAGTATCCATAACCCATTTGGACTCTTTTGTTTTTATTTATTCATTGACTGTCATTTTGAGCTCTTGCATGTTGTAGTTCTGGGTCGTGTTGGTGGCTGCTGTCTGGATAAGACCATCAAACTGTTCGTTATCTGGACGGCCAATCATCGTGCGCATCGCCCGGCGGAAAAGCTTGTACTTGAAACAATAGATGATCGGGTTCAGGCAACAGTTGGAGGCCGTCATTATGGTTGAGATGATATGAACAGGTCCCTTGACGTCCAACTCGAGCAAACCAATGTTGAACATGAAGTAAGCGACCTGGCTGGGAGCCCAACAGACAACGAATGTCACAAAGACAACGACCAGAGTTTCGAAAATGTCCCGTCTCACCTTGAGAAGCTGATGCTGCTGATGCATTTGCGCCGCCCGACCCACCTCTGCTGTTGTATTGTCCTGGCCAACGTCGTCTGTTTTCAGGGTGATGAGTTTTGCTTGACGCTTCAGCGCCACTGCCATGTGTATGTAACAGTAAAGCATAATCACCATGGGTAGGAAGAATTGGAGGCAGATGATAAGCGGGCCCATTACCTTGGAGGCTGGGAGTTGTCGAAAGTTACACTGGCCGTCGACGACGCTGTAGTGGAGGAAGGAGTAGGTCTTGATGAGCGGGGCAAGCAGCCACACGATAACTATCACTGCTGCCACTCCCTTGCGGGATTGCATCAGCCGAAAGCGGAGGGGGTGGACGATGTTGAAGTACCTGCCCAGAGTCAAGGCAAGGAGGTTGTAGGTGGATGCGACGAAGAGCAGAAAGAGGGTGACATCCCCGATCCACACACGGCACAGCAGCTCACCGCCGAACGTCTGTGGTACCTGGGCGGGGACGGGGATGTTCCGCTGCAGAAGCAGCAGCAGCGAGCCCAGAAAGTCGATGATAGCTTGATGGCAGATAATCGCTATGGAAGATGTGTGCATGAAGGGGACTCGCCAGATAACCGTGATGATAAGGCCATTCCCCAAGACGCCTAGCACGCCAATGATGGTTTCGCAGATGCGGTATATCAGTGAGATATCAGCCATGATCTATAACTGGACTTTTCAAACAATTCTATCTAAACTGATCTACGACCAATTATTGTGCAATAATTTGATGTTCGCAATGCAGCTTACACTCGGTAATAATTTGTCACACGCAGTATCACTACATTATAGGGCCTACGCAGCCTGCTGTAAAGGCTTCAGTAGGCTGCTTATTCGGTAATTAAAACGATAAAATAATACCTGGTGATAATAATTCCTACATGGAACCATCAGGTCTCGGTGAGTATATTACGTAATATGGCCTACGCAACCTGCTGTACTACAGCCATACAGGCTTAGGCTGCATGCCTTCGTGAATTAAAGGGAATATACAACATTTGCTTTTGCTGTCAGACATGGATGGATTTGGGGGCTTGTATTATCAGGGGCGAATCCGGGGGGGGGGGCCTTAATTTCACCTGGACATGGTAAATCTTGACGGAAAAAGCCGGTAATTCTGATGCATGTGTCATCAAAATGCACATTCACGACATCGAAGCCATTCCGCTGTACGATGTTCCGTACGGCATGCAGCAGTGCAGTCAGTGGCGTAGCAAGGAATTTTTCAGGGGGGGGGGGCTGGGGGGCTGGAACATTTCATGGGGGGCGTCATGTAGGGGCGTCAATTGCTTCTCAAAAGTGGGGGGGGGGACATACCTTGATCAGAACTGATGCGAGCGCGAAGCGCGAAGCCTTTACGGCGTGGGGTTCGGGGCCCGCTTAAGGGCCCCGAAAAAAAAGGATTCTAGATGTTCTGTGGTGTGATCTGAAGCAATTTCTTACCACTTTCCTCCATGCTTTAACTAATATTTTCTTAGCAAAAGATAGTTATTTGACATCGTTTTCGAGGTTGGAGTCATTGAATCAGCTATCGGTATTCTGAGCTATAGGAGTGGGGTTCGGGGCCCGCTTAAGGGCCCCGAAAAAGATTGGATTCTCGATGCTCTGTGGTTTGATCTGAGGCAATTTCTTACCACTTTAACCAATAATTATCTTAGCACAAAAGATAATAATTTAAACATAATTTTCGAGGTTTTCTCAGCTAAAGGCATAAGAAAATTTTTTGTACATTGTTTTCGAGGTTGGAGTCATTGAATCAGCTACCAGAATTCTGAGCTTTAGGCGTGGGGTTCGGGGCCCGCTTAAGGGCCCGAAAAATTTTGGATTCTCAATGCTCTGTGGTGCTATCTGAGGCAATTTCTGACCACTTTAACCAATATTTTCTAAGCAAAAGATACATTGTAGTACATAATAGGGCCCTGTAAATGAGACACGAGTTCAAAAATCTGGGGGGGGGGGGACTTTGATATCGTGTCCCCCACCCTTCAAAAAGTGGGGGGGGGGGGGGGGGGACCAGTCCCCCTGTCCCCCCAGGATTGACGCCCATGGCGTCATGTAGATCAATGATAATTTTTTTAGAAACTCAAAATCTCAGTGGGGGGGGGGGGGGGGGGGGCGACTGGGGGGCGACAAGGTTTCATGGGGTGGCGGTCGCCCCCCCCACGCCCCCCCCCCCGGTGGCTACGCCACTGAGTGCAGTGCAATGCCATCGCCATTCACTGGTCCCCAACGCGTGCTAACAGAATCAAAGCTATGATGTATAGGACCGGAACCAGTGACTACGGGCTGTATACGTTGCGTTGACTTTGGATCATAGAAATTACCAAACGAACATCGATGGAGAAAGAGAATTTCTTCAAATTAATTCCCAGAACGTGATCTCTCTTTTCTGTGTATGTATTTTCCATTAATATAAATATTTATAACGAGATTGTTCCGCTTGTACGTGATACATTGTACTTGTAGCGTGTTTCTGCAAACTTTTCGGCCACAGCACATGGGTTCATTTCCGGGTCCGCTACACAATACACAGTGCTGTATGCACACCGATAGTGCGCCGTGTGCGCGACGCGATTTACGGCCAGTGCTGGCCGGCGGCTGACGGTAACATGTGGGCGGGGACGACTTAAAATCTCCATTATTTTAAAGAATATCCACCTAAATATATTTTTATATTAGGTAAGGCAAATTTTTATCAAAAAGTTTTGATGGACAGTCTCGATAACTCTCGTGGCGCGATAGGAATGTGATAGGAATCAGATTTTGTTGGTTCTTCCGACTTATTTCTCAACTAGAAACTTACTTTTTAATCCATATACTTTTCCAGTTTAGCACATCGTAGCACTAACTTGTTTGAAGTTTTGAGTTCGTATATAGATGCTGGAAAAATCGAGAAAAAAAAAATCCTGTAGTCTGGTTCCCTGACCCCACTTCAGATGAAACAGAGCAATTTATAGACATCGGGGTATTGTAAGGTCAGGGAACCAGTCTAGCTAGTGTACCCGTTCATAGACGTGTAATCGATTGCAAACAAAATGCGGACTAACTTAATATGGTAAATTGGGGCAGTGTTTGAAAAAAAAAGCATTTTTTTCCCCTACAATTTGGAAACTGATACAAGATTATGACTATTCTGAAATCGCACAGACGGCGTATGGCACCCCGCACGTTGATCAGCAAAAACAATGTAATCACAAATTTCCATAATATACAGACAGACAAAATTCATTAAAATTCATGAGAACAATAAAATACGAATTTTACTTTAAGGCGTCGGACCTATGAGGCGGAATAAATAAATTTTATGCCTCATAAATCCGACGCCTCATGAATCCGAAATTTCGGACTTATGAGGCGTCGGACCTTTGAGGCATCGGACTTATGATACGGCCCCATTCAGACAGCGAATGCAGGGAACTTCTCGTACTGGCGAGTCAAATCGTACCATCAAATCGTACCCAGGTTAACTTGTACCTAAGCCATGTCGTACCCAGCTCATCCAGCTGTAAGAACTACAAGAAACAAGAAACAAGCAAAATTGGGATGGAAATACCCCCAAAAGACAGTGGTAGAGATAGAGAGTGTGAGCTCTTTTTGCCGATGACCGATATCGCAGCGTGATCATTTACGCATTGCGCAAGCCCGGTCCGTGCCTCCAGTGGACGGCCCAACGCGGCCGTCCGTGCACGGTGAAATCGCTTTTGCCGGCCCGCGGTTTCGTACCGTTCGCTGTTTTTAACGTCTAATTGTTCATCCTTTCATTTTTTTTTCTTCCCAAACTATTTTTTTTCATTATTCTACTATTAGTTCAGATTTTAAGGAGTTTTTCAATATTATTACATACAGGCCGTCATGCGACCATGACTAGGTACATGTACATGTACGTACGCTCAGAAACTACTAGCCTTTAGTCCCACGCGCCTACGTACCCGGACACGTGACGCACCCCGGATGCTAGGCACGTAAAAAGACTAGCACGAGCGTCGCCGCTCGCGCTAGGTTTACGTGCCAGCATCCAGGGTGCGTTACGTGTCCGGTAGGCGCGTGGGACTTGACTAAAGGCTAGGAAACTACAAAAATGAAACCCACCTATGGAACGCAAACCACCTATATTCATAAATACCTAAGACAGTTAACCCATTCTTATTGGTTGAGAGCCCGTCACGTGGCCGGTTTTATAACGGTGGATAAAGACCGGCTGGCTGGTCTTCAACACTTTTCCAGTGTCGCATGAAAGAGGCGTTCGCAATACTACCAGTGAGTCAGTATTGCATAGTCCCTATTCACACTACACGGAACAGCTGCATTGTGCGCCACACCTCGGTACGCGCGACGCACGCGTCAATCTCCATAAATTATAAGGAAATCACTGGCGAGAGGGGCGTACCATACTATAGAAAGAGGGGTGTTTCGAAAAACATGAAGTAAAATTATTGAACAAAATCGTTGGAAATTCAATTGTTTTGACTAGTTTTGCCTTTTGGGCGACAAGTTTCTATTTTTATGTCCGAAAAGGTATTTATGAATGGGAATAAATATGTACTTGGCCGGTATTAAACACTACGTTAAAGACCGATTGGAGTCTGGATGCTGATAATTACCCTCGCCTTCTGCTCGGGCATTGTTAAAATCCAGACTCCAACCGGTCTTAAACAAAGTGTTAAAACCGGCCAAGCTCACATTATTTTATTCCCTTTAAAATATTTTTTTCAATATCTCATTCAAATTCTGTGATAGGTGGCATGTTTGGGGAAACTGGAGAACGTTTCAAACATTTCAACTTAAGTTGTCCCTTTTTACCAATGATGATGGCATTGAAATGGAAAGCAGACGATTTAAAACGACATTTTCTTGAAAACGTCGAATTTAAATCGCACAAAATGGTGAATGAAATAAAACTAAAGGTATTTGATTTCATCCGGTGGCATGTATTTCGCTTAATCTATCAAAATGTACATGATGTTTGATTGGTGAGTCTTTCGCTACCATGGCGCCGCTATTTCGACAAACCCTTTGTCGAAAAGTTGTCCCTTTTTACCAATGATGGCATTGAAATGGAAAGCAGACGATCTAAAACGACAATTTCTTGAAAACGTCGAATTTAAATCGCACAAAATGGTAAATGAAATAAAACTGAAGGTATTTGATTTCATCCGGTGGCATGACTTTGTATTTCGCTTAATCTATCAAAATGTACATGATGTTTGTAGATGAAAATTCGTGAGTCTTTCACTACCATGGCGCTGCCATTTCGACAAACCCGGCACTGCCATTCGCGAGATTTTGGCGCATGCGCACAGACTACGTTAAGGGGGGGGGGGGGGATGAACATACGTGTGAAATAAATGTGTGCTTCGATCATAGAGCGATTTTCCCGGTTTTTGTATTAGGAAATTCGTACACACTTTTGCCAACTTGCCTTTTCTTTCAAAAGAGGGCGCCCTACACTAATAGTGATAGTGGTCACTCACCACCACAAAGGATTATTGTCAACACGGAATATTGTCATGAGAACAAACAGCATTCTCCTTTCCAGACGGTAAATCAAGAAATACATGGTGTGTTGGTTTGATATTTTGTCTTGTGATTAGTAGCAGTGGCGCACCCAGGGGGGGGGGGGGGGGGGGGGGGCCCTCGGGGGACTTGAGCCCCCCAAGAGGTTTTCAATTTTTGTTTTTTTGGGGTTTTTTTTTGGTAATTTTTTTGGTCCCGCGATTTGACCTTGGTGATATGTATGTGGCCTTTTTTCGAGTAGTATCATATGGTGTAACCGGCGCCACCAACGTCAAAATAGTCCCCCCCCCCCCAAAAAAAAAAACACCCCAACATTAAAAAAAAAAAGACAAAAAAATGAAGAAAAAAAACCCCAAATAATTGAAGTGAAATTAAATTAAATGCACTGAAAAACATATTAAAAAACCTACTTTGTAGATATTTATTTAGCAGCGCGAAGACAGAATGTGTATTGGGAAACACATTAAAATGTTGGAAGCAGTATCAAAGCATTTTCGGAAAAGGCACTACATTTTTAAGTACTCATTCGTTTATATTATTCATTTCTGATAAAATAGTATCCAGTATTAATATATTGACTTCTGTAAGGATAAACCTACAAATTTGAAGAAGAAAAATATGCAGATTTGCGAAACGCAATGGAAAAACTCAAACTATTTCATACATTCTAGAAAATATTTCACATACCTCAAAGTACTACTAACAAAACCTTATGACTACCATCATTAAATATTTGGTATATTATAGTTAGTTTAGAACACTACTTGAGATTCATAATAGGACAAGGACTTGGACTCGGACTCGGATACCAAGGACTTAATTGGATTCGGACTCGGGTGGGGTGGACTCGACTACAGCACTGTATAGTTAGGCTTATCTATTGCAATACCAAGTTGGCTTATATATTTCACAGCTTAACAACATACTATCTAGTATCACAATCATATCGAATATAAGTTATTGATAAACTGAAGTAAAAGTTTCATCTTTCTAAAAGTTATACATTAAATGCATGTCTAGTATCGAGTATATTTTTGTTGGTAGGCTGGCCATGGGGGTGCTAAATATGCCCGAAATTGCTTATGCCGGTATTTGAGCATCTTTGAAGGCCATGAACTTGACGGTTTGTAAAATAAGAAGGGTAGAAGCCGTGCACAGGACTGCGAGCTCGTATTTCTGTGAAATTCGGATGAAATTATAGGCCTTAAAATGGCTCTAGGCTATATTGCAATGGAACGTAGGCGTCCTTTTGCAAAATGGCGATGGACTATAGCGCTACTGTCAGGGTGATCATCTTTGGATGGAATTTTCTCCCAAAATCCATTGGTTAACCCCAAACAGAGAATGAAGAGATGATGAAATAAGCTTTAATTTGATGTGTGTCTCAAACACCTTGGAGATTTGTGAGTATATTGTTCCTGAATCTTGGGAAGTTTATTTACTGGTGTGCAACCTTATTTATGACACAATTTATATATCTATTATATATGCTTCCTAGTCCGGCAGATTGGTGCACAATATGATAGAATTGTTCATTGATTTGACGACAAAAGCATGACATTTGGCACACAGTCTGAGTATGTCATGGAAAAGATATTTGGCTATAGGGCAATCGCAGATTTGTCCTTTGAAAAAATTGTCATAGAATAACATGCAATGGCTGCCATTTTGAAAAATTCGAAAATTTCTTGTTATCCTTTGAAAGCCTATTGTTTCAAAGGAGAAATCTGCAATGACCCTTTGGCCAAATATCTTTCCCATGACATACTCTGACTGTGTGCCAAATTTCATGCCTTTATCATCAAATTGAACAATCCTATCACCAATCTGCTGTACCAGCATCCCCTAAACATAAAGCATTATAAGAATCAGACCAAGCATGATGTTGGCGAGGAATGCATTCAATCGCAACCCGTTGGCAGAACTGCCAGCTTCCTCGCATTCTAGGGACTGAGTGACAGCGATCGGGCACGCCTTGAAGTCCTCCATGCATTCCAGGATCTTGTCGGCCTCGCGTTCCCCGGACCGCAGCCCCCCGTCCACGGTGCCGAAGTACCCGTACGACGTTGCCTCCCCACCGAAGAACACGCGGTGGACGCGGCTCTGGAGCTTGTCGAAGCACTCGGTGGTGACTTCGACGGGGAAGTTGGAGAAGGCGCCCTTGGTGTAGGGGTTCTGATTCCAGTCGGTGACAAGGATGCCGTCGGCTTGCGGGATGGCATCGCCGTACATGCCGCGCAGCACCGCCTCGATCTCGGCCTTGGTGTCGGCCGAGGGTTGAGCTTCCACGCGCCGAGCTTCGTCACCTTGGAGAAAAAAAGACAATGGAATGGCATTAGAAGTGGATCCTTTCATCCACTACGTGGTTGGGGGAGGGGTAAGGGGGGACGAGGGTGTGCCCCTCTCCCCCCCCAAAAAAAATGAAATCCCAAATTATATGCGACTCTGAACCCACCCCCCCCCCCAAAAAAAAAAATACCGTCCCCCACCCTGAAATTTTCTGGATCCTTCAGTACTGTTTATTTCTTCATGAGTTTCTGTTCAGAAGGATTTTGGAAAACATTCGTCTTTCCAGAGTTACATTCTTCAAACCAGGTACAAAGTACATGAACGTGAAATCAGTTATTCCAGACGTTCTGCTTCAACCCCTTCAGGTTTTACCCACGGTTTTAAGATCTCAGAAATGTTCCAGATTTGCACAAAGAAATGTCTCAAGAATGAGACTTGGTCACTCTTGCCTTTAGGAGTAAATCTGCGCGAAGCCTACCACCCCCCCCCCCAATTTGGGGAAGGCCATCCTGGCAAACCGATTCCGAATCTGTTCTATTTTTGCCACCCACTCATGCAGATTCTCTGCGCGAAGTTCGTGGAGTTCACCATACGCACTACATGTAGATAAGGAATCACAGAATCAACTTATCAGCCAATAGGAGAGCGCTTTCCAGGACGGCATAGCGAGCTGCCATTTTTATTTGCCAATCCTTGGTTAGCTTTTGTAAAGAGCAATCCAATTGGTCATAAACTATGTCAGTCCACTTTTTTGGAAGTGTTCACGAATAACTAATCTGACGAGGTCCAAATATATGACAGAGATGGACTCGGTTTGCCAGGGTGCTGTCTTACAATACGCACATCAGCAAGTCTATCCTGGCTTACGAGGATGGGAAGGCATAAATAAACAACTCGGACATGGAGTGTTCCTTCAAGAAAAGTTAAGCACCCCTCCCCTTCCTGGCAAGTTGGACCGCAGCTGAGAATTAGGGAGACACAGACATAAGACACTTACCAGTGATGAGAGCCAGCAAAAGTGGCGTGCCGTTCGGATAGAACCCCGCGGCCTGGAAGTTGAAGAAGCCCGGGTAGTACCCTCGCCTGTCGCTGGGGTGAAGTATCCACTCCTCGTCGCCCCAGAACTTACTCGGGAAACTGAGGTAGACCAGGGTGTAGGCCGTCATCTGGAATTTATTGATCTCAACGTCCTTCCATTCCGGTAGGTCAGGGACAAAGTCTACGAGATCATGCTGGAGGACCCCGAGGCTGAATGTGACTAGGACGTACTCACCGATGTACCGCGTTCCGTCCCGAGTGGTCACAACAACTGAGATGTCATTCTGGTAGTCGATGGATGCCACATCTTGATTCAGCCGGGTGTGGTTGGCGTACTCTGGCGCGTCCAGGAACCCGGCTACGGCGCCGAAGATCTCCTTGAGGCCTCTCGCATCCGTCATCCAGTACTCCTCGCCGATAAATTCGGTCTCTTTCGTCGATGTCGTCTCCGGTGTGTCGCCGAACGTGATGTCGAAATCGAACCACTCGATGGCTCTGTGGAGGGCCGTGTCCGGTATCCAGCCGCCGACGCGGAGCGCGGAACGCTGGGACATGTCCGGGATGTCGCTGTCGGCTTTCATCTGATCCCGGAGCAACCCGAGCTTTTCCTTCGCCGGTCCAAACACTTCGTACAGCGGGTCGGTTTGATCGGTGACATCGGCACCATTGTCGGCGCGGAATACCAGGCTGTCGTAGTCACTCGCCCGGTGGCTTAGGTTGAGCTGCCGGACCAGATCGACGGTACGAGACACTTCAGGCAATGCCCATGTCGGTCCCAGCTCGACGTTCATATTGGCGAACTGGGTGTTGGCCACACGACCTCCCACACGGTCAGCCGCTTCGATGATGATAAAATCATCGACACCAGCATCGTGCAAGGTTCTAGCCGCCTGCAAGCCGGCAGCACCTCCACCCAAGATCAGAACTCTTGCTTCGTTATCGGAGTAATCAGCTCCCCGAACGGGGCAGGCTAGCACCCCCAAAATCGCCAGCAACAGAGCAACTCTCGCGCGGACTGCCATTGCAAAAATTCTTCCCGTGCGGCTTTTAACCTTGATGCTTCTACCACAGTAAACAGAATTGCCCTGTGAATACGAAACTCACACTCTTCCACTGGTTTAAATGCATGACCGGGTGCTTTGAAAAGATTTTTCTTTTGCTGGAGGTCAGAGTATAATGTGTGCGCGTTGCTGCTCTATTATACCACACCCACTAAACCTTGCCCAATAAACCCACACAGAAGTTTGTATTGTCATGTACCGAACTTTTTTTCGGATTGATCAGCAACCTTGGGGACAACAACAAAGCAATCCAGATGCATTGATCAATACACAATTGGACAAGGTAAAGTGCAAATCAGTTGGCCTTATTACCAGGGTTAAAAAGAAACGAGGATTAAATTTAGTTTTTGCTTTCCTTTTCGGCTTTCCTTATTTCAATCGAATCATTGACCTGCATATTGAATATTGAAAATCTCTTATGGGCCAAGTCAATTTGGGGCCCAAGCATGTGGCATTTCTGTGAGTCCCTGTTGCACCCGACCGGTACCCGTGTAATTTGTATCATTGAAATTGACATCACACTATTTTATTTATTTATTAATTTTGGCAGGTACTTTGCTTTACATAATCACTCTTGGAGATCATAGTAGAAGGCATTTAGACATATATGGAACAGGGACACGAACAAATTTGACCCCAAATTCATTGAATGAATGACCCTCATAAACATTGCAATCTCCTCGGTTGAAAAAAAAACACATTGGGTTTGAGTGGCCATTAAACTGTCACAAGGTTATCTTCATTATTATGCAAATTATCGCGCGCAATTGTTATCACTCTCAACACTCTCAAGTTGAGCGAATGGAAGTGGACATAGGCCATTCTCTTGTTAAACTGTAGAAAAACAATCTAAATTGAAGTAAGTTGGTATAACTTTCCATAAATCTTGAAATTGACGAATGTGAAAATGACGGCAACTTCTGAATTGTAGCAACATGCAAATATACGTCAATAACATTAGATTCGCATCCATTTGAATTCTATACGGCTTGACTTGAAACTTGCTATGTGCATTGCCACGCAAGTCAATTAATACATTAATGTATAAGTCACGTTACTTAGGTTCATCGTTACAAGCAAATTTCAACTTTTATTTACAAATCTTTGATTAAATGCGCATACAAAAAAAAGTAAACGACTTTCAAAATGACAATCGCGCTTAGCACAATACTTTAATACAATGCACAATCTGCAAAGCAGTTGAAGACATGCATTCATTAAAATGCACATGCCTTCCTAAAGTACAGGCCAATTTAATTACAAGCTTCATCCTCGTTTTGCTTTGAGATTCTCTCCATAGAAGCACAGCCCCTGTCTTTTTTTTAGTTTGATTACAAAGCACATGATAAAAAACCCTCACACTCTACCAATACATGTAAGCATATACTGTGCATTATGTACAAAGTGCTACGCAATATTTTTACTATAAAATTCAAGCACTGCTTTGTTTGATTTGTTTCAGAAGATTTACAATGTTCATCAAATTCTCTTACACAGACACAAATGGGCATTATTTACAATTCGTTAGCACCACTGCCCTGAAACAGGGCGATGAGAAGGGTTAATATATTACGGATGCATGACGTCAGTTCTTCGAGCCCTTACTGAATAAAATTGGTTTGAACAATAACACGTGTTGACACTTCCGTGTGCGCATGACACTTCCGTGTGCCGCGCATGACACGTGCGCACAGCATGCACGCGCATTGGATGATGAGGCAAAAAGCTGCCCACAATGCTTTGCGCGCCTGTGGTTCCTTTACAATATTTTGTGAAGTGACTAGCCCTTCCCAGCGCCCTGTTTGAGGGCGTTGGGCACTAGCGAATATGAATAGGTGTTTTCTACGAAATTATAAATATTTTGTGCACTGCATTCTGAAATTTCACTAAAAGCACATTCTAGAGAAAATAATGTGAAACGAAAGCCAAACTTTAAAATAGATGGATTAAGAAAAGAGCTTTACTAAAGACATTACAATAACATTACAATTCTAGTGCCAAAGACTGTTTATAGACTTTTTCGAATTCTCAACTCAGGTCAATCGATTCTCGTCTCGTTCTTCGGCGCTGCGCCTTTTCCGCAGTGGTCAGGTTTTTCCCCTCCGGAAAGGGACGAGCGTCCCGCACTACGGCCGTGTCGCTCTTCTCTCTCCGGAGGCACGAGCCGATCCAAGAGGTCTCCATGCACTGTTGTTTCTTTCGAATGACGAAACACTTGGTCTTCAGGCGGTTGAAGTAGACGTCTCCCACCCCCTCGCCACCGGTGAACGGGCTTTCTTCAAGCATTTGTGGAATCTGAAGAGACAAATGTCGGTTAGAGTTTAAATTAACGACTGAAGATTAATGTTACGAAAAGACGTCAGCGAAGCTCGAGTAGATCCGTCTAGAGTTCAAGTTGTTCCGAAATGGGATCTATGGGGGTGGCTGGGGGGGGGGGGGAGTGTGTGTGAGTGTGTGTGGGGGGGTGTGTGTTTAGGGGCTTCAAACCCTCCCCTTTGGCGCCAAAAAAAGGGAAAATAACAGGAGACATCCACATGTGCCTGCTTGGACAGCGGCCCTCTTGAGCCAAAACCTGGATCCGCCCCATATTTCGAGAAAAACATGTAAGACCATGGAGGAATAAGAACATGCTTAGACTTAGGCCTGTGACTGCTTGAAAACATGTGTGCTAATTTCAGGTTAATAAGTTGGTTTATAATAGAGAGTTAATTGTAGAGAATGAGCTGAACTTGCACTGAAAATTATTGTTGTTTGACAGCGAAGGTTAAGTGTTGCTCTAAATATACCAATAATAAAATTGTCGCAGGCGTGAAGTCGCAAATTTATTTGATTTGTGCAGCTCAAAAAAGAGTCCAAGATTTTTTTTCAGCCAGATTTTTTTGTGTGTTTATGAAGGATTTTGCTGGGGGGGGGGGGGGGGGGGGGGCAGCCAGAAAACTATTCACGGTCTGACCGTTGAAGGCGCTGTTCAACGCAAACAATACTGCACACTGATCGGACGGTGACGCTCTTTGTTGCAGCGAGTCAACATAGGGGTGGGGCGTGGCACCATGCCCCCTCCCAACGCCCCCTTTTAATACACCACTGAATGCAAGCCTAATAAAAACACAAACATTGGAAGATAAAATTGATTATTCGTATCAAGGATATATTATGGAGGGCCAAATAGCCACAAATAGCCCCCCCCCCAAGCAACCGGGATAAATTGTGTAGGTGCGCAAGAAAGGAGAATTGACGGGTAAGTAGGCCTACGTTTTAGAAACCGCGTTGTGTACAATTATTTTTCAAAGTCCTGTTCCTATGTTTTGGGGCGAGCATTCATGTAAAACAAAATCAACATTTAAAGGGAATGTACATCATTGGCTTTTGTTGTAATTTTCTAAAATGAACTTATTTGGGGGGTTAGTATAATAGATCAAATATTGTTTAACTGACATGATTGAAGTTTTGTGTTCGAAAATGCTTGAAAAACCAAGAAAAACTAAAATGTTTAAGTAGTCTGGTTCCCTGACTCCACTAAAGATAAAATGGATCAATGTATAGATGTCGGAAAAATTGAAGGTAAGGGAACCAGTCTAGCTGGCCTGCACCCGTTCATGAACATGTAACCAATAGCCAACAAAATTTGGACTGAAAAAGAATTGTGAATTTGGAGCAGTAGTTGAAAAATTGTTAGGTATTTCCAACGGTGGTCGACCGACCACCGTTGGAAATATATACAAAAATACAATTTCTTGAAAATGACTTGACACCAGGTGCCATAATTTTACAGGATGCTTTAGACTGTCATTGACCAACATCCTAGTAAGGTATTTCGTAAAAACTTGGTAGTTTTATTCTTCGATGTTTACAAATGTTGTATATTCCCTTTAAAGTATCAAACGGGGGCGTATTTTTTTTTCAGCATACGTCGCATTTTAACCAATCACATCACGCACGCCAACATGAATATTCATCACGCTGTGTCGATGGAAGACATAGGTTCTCGTAGTGTTTTCCCTTCAATTATACTTAGCCCAACCACAAATTTTTTTGATGAAAATGGACATGGATTCGAAGCACAGATCTTGCGATCCATAGTTCATTCCACTATCCACTTGGCCACTGTGGCAGCTCGACGAAAGCCGTTCTTTGAAATGCTTTAATGTACATGCATGACTGAGTAATAGCAATGGCGTGACGTCATTGTTATTTTCTGATGAATAAACATCGAACAAGCTGAATACTCATGATCCACTGGCGTGCTGCAGATAAAAACCACCGCAAACGGCGGGGGGGGGGGGGGGGGGGGGGGCTTCCAGCAATTAACGAGCCTTCCCAGTCACGCGCGGTTACCTCTGCAGAACAGCCAAAAAGTTTGTTGACCCGCAAGGTCTTTGGTTTTTCTTTCTATTTGGTGGGACCAAACTAGCCTACCGCTTAACCGTCTCATAAAGGAGAATCGATTTTGGCCCACGGGGTAAAACAAGGGTCAATTGCTGGCGTGGGAAAGCGGGTAGACGAAAAAAGTGAAGTAAAACTCGAGAGACGTCTACAAACTATCTTTTTCAACAGACAAACAAACAAAGACCATGGTCACGATGGCTATCACAATAGGGCGGGTATTATTATGGTGGCCCTAAACGGACATACACTGGCGGGTATTTATTTTATTTCGTCCACGCGTGTCACACGGTCTGTATATGACGTGAGAAGTATCGAAAGCGGGTTGTTTTTTGTTTATCTTTCTTGGTACTATTTAGGGGAATTTGGGAAAGTTTGTTCACCTGGAACGATTGACCAACCTTTTTTTAAGAGTGACAAGTAATCAATATATCATCTTCCTGTAAATGGAGAGTCCACGGTTTTTTGGGGCAAAAGTTTGTTGACCCTATATGCGTGATCATTAGCCCTATGACTAACGAGGTCTACTTGACCTAACTGTCGCGATATGAACACATTCGGCCTCGATATTTCAGAGAAAACTTGCTGATAGGTAGCTGGTACTTTCCTTGTACCGTCGAACTACAGGAAGGAGACCACCACGAGAAAGTTTAGATTATTAAAAGCGAATCAACACAATAACGTCCGTGATGGAAATTTCTGTCATAAATCTCCACCCGGATTTAGCAAACATGAGTTTTGTTACGGCATCATCGTCAATTTAATTTGTAAACTGTTCTGCGACTGAGCTTTCGATTGCGAAAGCAACCCATTCTGGAATGGACTCT